GGATTGCTTTCCTTACTTTGTTTGGATCATCTTAAGTTAATGTATGAGTGGTTTTTTCTAAAGTAAAGCCTCAGTATTCAGGTTAAATGGCCGTGTTGGCACTTTGCGATGAATAAGTGGGTTTTGGGTCGCAGTTTGGGCACTCGGTCTCTCAAAGGTTCGCCATCACTGCCCTAGAGAGCCACTGCCAGTCTCAGTAGACAGTACTGACTCTGATGAACCCATAGTCTGATTCAGGATAAGGTGGCTTCATGTGTTCATGTGTGTCCAAACAGACACCACCCCCTTTGCCTCTTGTGCTGGTCCCATGCCCATCTTCTAATACAAAAGTCTGGTGGCATCTGTGGAGAAATGCATTTTCCTCTGGAGGTCTGGACTGAGGGAAGCCTTCGCCTCGAGCTTTCAAACGATTTTTCTCTCCCTCGGCAGAGAACAGCCAGGAGGAGGGGATATCGATTCAGATGCTTTCCAGCCTCACCTCAGCCACCCTTGAGCAATGCTGACAGGTTCAGCGAGAGACAGTGAGGTGGTCAAGCTCCCCCACCCCCCCAACTTCAGCTAGGGAGGTGACACCTAGCAGGGAAGCAATTCGGAGGTTTAAAATGCTAGTCGGTTTCAGGAAGGGCTTCTTCGACCTCCTGCCAAGGGGTGGGCAAACAGAGATGATAAGGCCCCTTAGCATGAGGAGGAGGCTCTCGCCATGGCCATGTGCAGGACTGCAGGCCCGGAGCAGAGGCTCCAAGGTAATGGGAACCCTTTAGAACCACTGTCCTTTTTAAGTTTAAGGAGCCTGCCTTAGGGTGACACCCATTAGGGCACCTACTGAGGGAGGGAGGGACGGAGGAGCTGTATGGTTACACTTTTCCTTTGGGTCCCTTGCTCAGGCTGTTGCTGTGCTGACCAGGGATCATTTTGTGGGAAAAGAGGTGCAGGAGCTCATTAGCATAACTCATTAGCATAACTTATTTGCATATGCCACACCCCCTGACATCACTGGGAGTGTGTCAGAAGGCAGCACCCACCGCTCAGGCTCCACTGGACTGTTTTGGATTGCTAGCTGTTGGGGGGAGGGGAGGAACGTGCAAATCTGTCCTGGCAGGGGAGGGAGCGCTTGTACCTGAATAAAACTTGGTCTTAAAGGTGCCACTGGACTGTTTTGGACTGGGGAGCTGGGGGGGGGGCTCTGCAGCTTACCTGGCTGCTTCTTGCTCCTCGTGGCCTAAGTGAGGGCTGCTGGGAGCAGGGGGCGGGGATTGTTTCATGTGCCCACCCCCTGGGCTCCTTACTGCCGGAGCTCCGCTCCTGTGCGCTCCCGCAGGAAATGACCCCTGGTGCTGACAGTATGCGTTTGGGCATAGTCTTTTAAATAAATGATTTATCACTGTAATGCGGGTAGTGGTTCTCTGCGACACCATTTCAGACACACTTTTGTGAAAGGAGCACCAGGAAGAAGGGGCGGGTCAGTCATGTGGCCAGTGGAGACTCCCCCAGTGGTTGGCAAGTGCAGGAAGCTGTCCCCGTGGTAACCAGATGCTGGGCAGTGGGAGACGCAGCAGGCCTTAGAACAGCCGCGCAGGGAAGGGAGGCTGGGAGCCCGGGTCCTCTCCGCAGGCAATTCCTACCAAGGCCAGGTGGCGGGCGTGGGCGAATGGACAGAGAGAGGGGAAAGCCCCTCTGGGTGCTGGGGAAGCCAGGTGGGTGGCACAGGCCAGGGGGAGGCCTTGGGCAGCTTGTTGTTGTTCAGTTGCACAGTCGAGTCCGACTCTTCGCGACCCCATGGACCAGATCACGCCAGGCCCTCCTGTCTTCCGCTGTCCTCTGAAGTTGGCTCAACTTCATGTTCGTTGCATCTATGACACTGTCTAACCATCTCATCCTTTGCCGTCCCCGTCTTCTTTGACCTTCAGTCTTTCCCAGCATCAGGGTCTTCTCCAGTGAGTGCTCCCTTCTCATTGGGTGGCCAAAGTATTTGAGCTTCAGTTTCATTATCTGGCCTTCCAGGGAACAGTCAGGGTTGATTTCTTTTAGGATTGACTGATTGGATCTCCTTGCAGTCCAAGGGACTCTCGATAGTCTTCTCCAGCACCACAGTTTAAAAGAATCTATTCTTCGGCGCTCGGCCTTCCTCATAGTCCAACTCTCGCAGCCATACATGACTACTGGGAATACCATTGCTTTGACCATGCAGACTTTTGCGGGCAGGGTGATGTCTCTGCTTTTCATCATGCTGTTGAGGCAGCTACTGGTGCCCAGAGATGCCACGGAGGGAAGGACAGGGAAGGGCCTGCCGGTCAGAGTGGGGCTGCTGCACCACAGCCTCTTGAAGTCCAGAAACTTTTCGCTAGAACGTTTTCTTCTGTTAACGCTGGGACCTGTACTGCTCAGTGAAGTTAATGGCAGTAGCCTCGAGAAAATAGAAGTGTTTATTTCCGTAAGATATGATTAATGTGTGGAACTCACTGACACAGGATGTAGTGATGGTCACTAACCTAGGGGGCTTAAAAGGGGATTAGATAAATTAATTAATTAAGGTTTTTAGCCATGAGGACTTAATAGAATCTCCATATTTAGAGGCACAATACTTCTCAGTGCAAACTGCAGAAGATCCAGTTTGACTCCCCACTCCGCCACGTGCAGCTGCTGGTTCTCAAAAGAGCTCTCTCGGCCCCCGCCTGCCTCACAGGGGGTGTCTGTTGTGGGGCGAGGGGGGGAGGGAAAGGAGATTGTAAAGGGCTCTGAGACTCCTCCTTTGGGTAGTGAAGGGCGGGGGGCATGAATCCCATCTCCTCTTCTTCCGTGCCCTGCTTACAGGACTCCTGCAGCAGCCTCTGAGTGGCTTCTGGGCAGTGTTCCCTCTGAGTCGAGCGAGTGTGAGCCAGCTCACAGGTTTTTAGCCTCCGGCTCACACAGTTTTGTCTCTTAGCTCAGGAAGGATGGGGCTCCAGAGCAAACTGATTGATGCAGGAGCCCAATCGCTCGCTCACAACTTTAATGGCTGTAGCTCACAAAGCAGAATTTTTGCTCCCAAGACTCCACGGCTGAGAGGGAGCCTCGCAGCTGTGTCCTGGACTGGGTAGAACGTTGATCAAAATATTGATCAGATCCAGCAGGGCTGCTATTATGTTCTCTCAGATTTTCTCCCTGTCGATTCAATGTTACCCGTGTCTTCATTAGCACAGGATTTTTTTAAACTGCTAAAAGACATACCCACTTTCACTTTCTAAAGGTCTATTGTGTGTCATTCTAATGGGCATGTCAAAGAATCAGAATTGCATTTTGATCCTGCAAAGGGCAGGGGCCGTAATTAATCCTTCCTGGAGAAAGTAAGTGCTCAGGCGGTCCCATTTGACCATACTACTACTGAGAGATATATTCATGCTTAAACTGAGTCATCTTCATACCTACTGTAAAGAAATGTGCCAGGATTGGGTATTGTTTAAAGAGTTGCAGGGTTTTATCTTCTCCCCTCCTCACTTGATTCTGATATTACTTAGATTTTTGTTTAGTTTGAATCACTTGGCCCAGGCGATCCTGATCTCGTCAGATCTCGGAAGCTGAGCAGGGTCAGCCCTGGCTGAAATTTGGACGGGAGAACTCCAAGGAATACCAGGGCCGTGACAAGGAGTCAGGCCTTGGCAAACCACCTCCAAACATCTGTTGCCTTGAAAGCCCTACTTGTAAGTCAGCTGCACTTCATGGCACTTTCCACCACCCCAGTTCCAGAGGAGAGATCTGATCAGCCTTACCTGGAATAGAGCCAGAGAGGTGGGCTTTCAGAGGCTGCTACCCCTCAGGCACCTATCGGTGTTGCTAATCCAGCCTACTTGAGAAGGGGATCTTGTTTGAAAACTGCCCCCTTAACTTGGTGTCATCTGTTTGTTTGTTCGTTTGATTGATTGAAGCAAGCTCTAATATGGTTCTGAAACTGAGCTGATTACCAGCAAGGTCCCTGTGCCTATTTGTGCAGGTATATGAAGATTATTTGTGAATGTCTTTATGTTTTATGGTGATTAGATATGGAGCAAATTCATTCCCATACTTCAGTTTCATCCACTGGATATGTTCAGGTGGGTCACTGGATATGTGTTTGGTTTTTTAAAAACAGCTCCTAAACTGATTCCCATGCTATTCTTTGAACATAGCTGAAAAGGGGGTGGGGGGAACCAGGGGAGGGGTTGACCACAGTCATTAAAATGGCTGACTAATTAGTGAACCCTAGCTGATTTGCGTAATTATAAGTCAGCAGCTGGTATTACGGGCTGTGACTGACAGTCCTATCCTAAACAGAGTCAAACTCTGCTAATCTCACAGGTTTAAATGGACCTACCAGAAGGGTGTAACTCCACTTAGAATTGCAATGTTAATTGCATTTAGGAGGGAGAAATGGTTTGTAGCACCCCAACATAAGCCATAGAATCAAAATCCCTTCAGGTCTGTTGGTGACTTTGCTTCTGACTGTGTGTCACATCTGTAGTCTGAGATGTTCCTCCTGTTGAAAACCCAAAAGGTTTTCATTTTGTGCCCCCTTACAGCTGAGCATTCGCAGATGAACCTGTATTGTCACCACCTTATGTTTGTTCCATCCTGGCTCCTTGACTTCAGAGATGATTTGATCTACAGATTAAAATGCCTCAAGCAAACATGTTGATGTGACCGCCCACATTCTTGATTCTCTCCTTGCTGCCGCAAAACCATCTCTTCTGAAGAAGAGCACCTTCCATATGAAATTATTTTCAGGGCCCTGTCAAATTAAACATAGCCTGATTTGTTATCTAGATGCTAGCATGACAGATTTGACTGAACTGATGTAGCCAAAAGGATGTTTTGGTTGAAATCCCCATTCGGGCGTGAGCTTACTGGGTGGCCCGGGCCTCCCCCCCCCTCCCCCCAGGATAAGTTATCTTGCAGGATTGTTCAGGCTAAAAAGCCCCTCTGATACTCCTGGAAGAAAGGATAGGATACAAATGTAAGTAATATAAATGCATGCTTTCTCTCTACAGTTGAATCACAACTTAAGAAACCATCACAATCAGAAAGTGGGAAGAAGAATCTTGACAAACCAAAAAAGGGGGGGAAGAAGGGAAAGGGAAAGAAAAAGAAGAACAGGACACCCTGTGACGAAGACTTTAAAAACTTTTGCATTCACGGTGAATGCAAATATATTGAACATCTCCAGATACCCACCTGCAAGTAAGTTAGCTGATGTCTGAATCCTCTTTGTGAACCTCCGTGTGAATGCCATTTTCAGACAGTCACTTTGGCTGTAAATCAGATGATTAAAAGGTAATCTAAAACAGATCTTCTGAGAAATAATTGACATCCCCAAAAAGTCTCAGGAACTTGAGAAAAGGAGAATGCAACATATGGCAATTAACCCTTTAGTCTTCCAAGCCACTGTGTGACTCTGATCTTGCAGAACAGGCCTGACAGGTCTCTGGCATCAGTTGACTGAGACAACCCCACCACTGTGACGTGTTGACTTGCGGTGATGTCAACAAGCTTTGTAACTGTTAAAACCCCCACAACCCAAACAAACTGTGTGCTGTGGGGTAGAGGGATGCTCACAGATGCAAGGAGGGCTAAATTTTTGTGGGCATCATGTTTATACTGTGTTATTCTTCCAAATACAATTGCACTCCTGATTAACATGGTTATGCCACCTGTAAAACCTTTTGCCATCATTAAATGTGAATTAAATGGTGATGGAATCAATAAAGTGTACAAAGATCTGTTGCCCCCTAATTTTGCCCAGTTCAAAGGAGAAGGGATGTCCCCGTCCCCCCGCCTAATGCTGGCCAACCACGGCCTTTGTCAAGTATTTTGGATATAAGAATACTCAGATGGAGGGTTCAGTTTCAGCCATTTGTTGATTTTTGATGGCAATAAGTATCCGCACACAGCACAGTTGCTGATTTCCATGCTGATTTTTTTCAGATGCCATCCGAATTACTATGGTGAACGTTGCATTGAACAGTTCTTGAAGTCACACCGAAGCAATGAGGCAGCCAGTCAGTCGGCCACCCTGTTGGTGGTGGTGGCTGTCGTCTTCTCAGTCTTCACTTTTGCTGTCGTCGTCGCCATTGTCATAAGGCAGTAAGTAGAGTATTTTCAATCTTCCGGCTTGTTTTGCATGCGGAAGCTCTGCCCATGCAGTAAAATGAGTACAGGCAGGGGTCATTTCCTGTGGGAGTGCACAGGAGCGAAGCTCCGGCAGTAAGGAGCCCAGGGGGTGGGCATATGAAACAAGCCCCGCCCCCTGCTCCCAGCAGCCCTCACTTAGGCCACGAGGAGCAAGAAGCAGCCAGGTAAGCTGCAGAGCACCCCCCCCCCAGCTCCCCAGTCCAAAACAGCCCAGTGGCACCTTTAAGGTCGAGTTTTATTCAGGTACAAGCTCTCACTCCTCTGCGAGGACAGATCTGTAGGACAGATCTGCATGTTCCCCCCCCCCCAATAGCTAGCAATCCAAAACAGTCCCGTGGAGCCTGAGCGGTGGGTGTTGCCTTTTGACACATGTCTGGTGATGTCAGGGGGTGTGGCATATGGAAATAAGTTATTCTAATGAGCTCCTGCACCTCTTTTCCTACAAAATGACCCCTGAGTACAGGAGAACTTAAAACTGTACATGATTCTTTGCAAATGTAAAAATTCCTTCAGGCACAGGGAGCTGTCGATAAAGACGTCCAGACAGGGTGAAGTAGGCGGGTGACCCAAAGGGTGAGCTTCCTTCGTGGGGAGGGGTGTAGTTCAGCCTGGTGCCTAATCTTATACATTTTAAGTATTAGCCTAAAAGGTTTCACTTGGGCTTTTAGCTGTTTTTCTCCTTCGAGATGGTTTTCTGCGTGGGCATGTGTATGGCTTTGTTTACGGTCACCCACTGGGATTTTTAATTGGGATTTCTATTGGGTTTCAATCGGACGCTCTGTTTTTTTGGACAAGTTATTGTGTGTGTGCTTCTCTTGGTTTTTTAAAAATAAATGCGTATTCTGGAACTGCCCTGCAGAGTGACATGAGGAGGAGGGGGACCGGGCTTTCTCACTACTGGTCAATATTGAATTCTATCTGAACTTGTGGCCGAGACACCTCGAGGGTCGTGACGACTCATCTGCCAGCACCTGCTGTGTCCTTTGTCTCTGGGC